ACTATATTTCCTTTCTCTTCTGTTGCTGAAAGTACCTGTTTAACCTCATTCAATTATCTGTTCATTAAGTAACTCACAAAATATTTATTTAGCATGAAACTATGCTCTGGAGACAAAGCTATGAGTAGACATTGATCCTTCTCTCAAGAAGAGCAACAGACATATAAATTAGGAAATGCTGTATCCTTTGATCACACTACAATCCCAGTGAAGTACATCATATAGTTGCCTTCTTCCCAGCAAGTCAAATGAAAACTTCACAGAAAAGTTTGTGATTGTACTGAGTTTTGAAAGAGGAGACATCAAGGGAATAAATGTTGGAATGAGTTAAATTGTAAGGTGTGCTTATAAAATTGTATATTGTAGTTAATATCTCATGTGCAATGGGAATGCCAAGTAAAACATGAGCATGGCAGATAACAAAATGTCTTATATTTGGGCTGTAACACTGAGACTTAATTCTGAAATCTGTGGAGAGTCAGTGTAGAGTTTATGGTAACGCATGTTCAGCATCAGGTTTGCCCTGTGGAGAGATTGACCTGATCAACGGAAGGAAGAGAATGTTGCTGCTGTCAAAACCAAACAGAGATTAAGGGTAAAAATAGTATCATAGAAGTGATGAATAAATCTGTGAAGGGGTGGATCATAGTGCATCTAAAAATCCACTGAGTAACATGAGACACATTTAACATTTAAAACTCATTATTTCATTTCACTCTTTATTTCCTCTATGGATTGGCATCATGATTTTAATTTTAAATATAAAGAATATGCGATTTAAAGCAGTGATTTTGCTTGTTGAAGATTGGTAGTGGCGTCTGGGTGAAGCTACAGCTTGCTGTTTCAAGGTAGTGTGTATTTGACTAATGTTTTTAATTTTGAATACATTTCTATTTTTCAGACAGTTTTATAGTTGCAGGAAAATTGCAAATACAGTACAGACAATTCCCATAAACCCCACACTCAGTCCTCTATTACTAACATCTTCCATCCAGAATCTCACATTATATATATTTGCATTATCTCCTTCGACTCCTCTGGTTATGGCAGGTTCTTTAGGTTTTCCTTATTTTCGATGACCATGATAATATTTGATAAAATAATTGGTAAATTGTCTAATATCTTTGTCATAAATATGAGGGGTTTTTTGGGGGGTGGAGGCCACATGGGATTAAGGCTCCATTTTCATCTATTATTTTGCCAATATCTATAAAATCTCTGGTTTGGATTTTGATTGGGATTGCATTAAGCATCTAGATGAAGTTATGAAAGATTGATATCTTCACATTTTTTTTTATTCTTCCAATTCATAAGCATAGTATATCTTTCCATTTATTTAATTCTTCTTTTATTTCTCTCAGTGTTTTTTTTCTGTGAAATATGACATTTTATCCTTAAAGGAGCTTGATAGCACTGGGAGAACACCAGGCCTCCTCCAAGGCCCACTCTGGTCACTTTTCATTCCTCTGGTCAATTCTTACATATTTTATCCGATCCTTACTCTTGCATGACACAAAAGTTGGCCACTTGTTAGGCTATGTGCATTTTTTCTTCTGTACTTCCATCCTCATTGTAGCTATTGAAAAGCAGGTGTTATTACTACATGAGTGGTCTTTCTCAGAATCCCAGGCTCTTTTCCATAAAAATTTATTTTCAGAAACAGCCAGAGTCTACATTAGTCAGACAATACAAGATGTAAAAAGCTAATCATGGGCCTATTTGGTGTTTTCTCTAAGCAGAACATCTCCTTGAAAGCAAATGTCAAGCAAATGTGAAAATGCTTATTTAGCATATTACACAAAGTTGAACATATTTTACTGTTTCTCATATGAAAATTTTTTTCTGGGTTTTTTTCTTTTTAATATATATTGTTACTGTATGTAACATTCCATTGAGAGTATGGTTCAAATAAGAAAGGTCTTTGGTATGTACATATGCTATGTACATACTATATGTTGTTGTTGTTGCTATATGCCATGGAGTCAGTTCCAACTCATAGCGACCCTGTACAGGGTTTCTGAGGCTGTAAATCTTTACAGGAACAGAAAGCCTCATCTTTCTCCTGCAAAACAGCTGGTAGTTTTGAACTGCTGACCCTGAGGTTTGCAGCCTGATTCGTAACCACTTTGCTACCAGAGCTTCTTGTATACTAGGTATTATTGTATTTAATGTTTACAATATGATTGTTTTTGTAATCTTGCAGAAGTACATTTATTCCTCAAAAGTGCAATATTCTAAATTTGAAATCCTCACATAAAATCATGAGGTACAAAATAAGTTCCTTCATAAAGAGGACACTGAGGTTTTGATGGAGTTGTTTAGCCTATGCCCATAAACCAGTCTTTGTGGAATGAGCAGTTCTAAAGCCTTCTAGTTCAGAAGTGGTCTCTACAATTATCACGCCCATAAGAGGTGAGAGGAACTCCAGGAGCAAATCCAAGCTAAATAAATTCAATGTCTGGCAAGACTCTCCAGAAATCACTACTGTCATATTAAACAGGACCGAGGAAAGAAATCTAGGACATGCATCTTTTGAGGTTCTTTGTTTTGGTTAATGAAACCAAGCCCTGGCTGGTTCAATTCAATGGACAGGGGCCTGATTCATCTCGTATGACTGTACATGACTGGTCCTGAGAATGACCTATCTCTATCTATAAGAAAACCAGTGAAAATTCACTAGATTGGAAAAGCAATCCAAAATCAGGTTTCTCAAAGGACCGGGCATGCATGCTATCTCCAAGAAAAGGACATTCTGTGTCCAATTATGGAATACCACAGTGGTCTATGTTTCTAAGGATTAAAACAGCCAGAGTACATTGGCTTCTAGACAGTGGCCTTGTTTTCTGTGTTTTGTAGCTTTCAGTCTATCAACTTTTTATGCTGCCCCTTGAAATGGTTAAACATCGACCATTTCTTTTTCGGTATAGTGACTCTGTGTATTCTTTCCATCTTATTTTAATGTTTTCTGCATTGTTCAATGTTTTGCCCATAGGGTCCTTCAATCATTCAAGTCAAGCCTTGAATTTTTCTTCAGTTCCCTCAGCTTGAGAAACATTGAACTTGTTCTTCCTGCACTCTCACCTCAAAGTTGGCATTTTAAATTCACAAACCACTGCATGGGAGAAATATGAGGCTGTTTGAGCCTATCAAGATTTAAAGTCTCCGAAATGCTACATACAGTCACCGAGAGTCAGACACAACTCAATGGCAGTGGGTTTGGTGGATTGGGATTGTTGTTGTAGAGGGTCTGTATAGAGTCCACCATCTGACTGGAAGTCTCTGTTGTTTGATTTATTGACTGCTGTTTGCATGAGCATTGATTATGCATCCAAGTATCTTATTTACCTAGTGCTGCTATAACAGATATATCACAAGTATTTTAACAAACAGAAATTTGTTCTTACAGTTTGTTGTTGTTAAGTGCCATCAAGTAAGCTCCAACTCATAGTGACTTTGTATACGGTTTCCACAGAGTGTCTGGTGAGTCTGAACCACTAACCCTGTGGTTCAAACTGACCTTTAGGTCCAGTGCTTTATCCCACAGTGCTTTATCAGCCTAGAAGTCTGAATTCAGAGCACCAGATCTTGGGAAAGGTCGTTGTCCCCTTTTAGCATCAGTATGTCCACCATTCTTTGGAATTCTCCATGTGTCTTTAAATTAATCTTTCTCTGAATCTAGGAGTTTCCCAGTACAGAGATCCCAAGTCCACATGTTGTACTCCACTCGTGACTATCATTTCCTCTCTGCCCACTAGTCTCTTCTTCTGTATCTCAAAAGAGATTGAATCAAAATAGAACAAATCCCATAGATTGCATCTAGTCTCATCAACATGATGGAAGTGAGGATTTATAACACATAGGATAATTATATTAGATCAAAGCTGATAGCATCACAGTAGATTTCAACATGTAGGTGATAATTATATCTTAACTGACAAACCATTTGGAATCATGGCCCAGTCAAGCTGACACAAAAAATTAACTGTCACATCAAGCAAAATGAAATTCTTGACAACTTGAATGTTTTCTGCATTTACCACGATGGTGCTTATTGGTCCATTCTTTGATCTTCATCAATAGTACTATTCCCATCTCATTTTGAGTGCCTTCCAACCACAGGTGCTGATCTCTGGCATTATATCAGAGGGTGTTCCATTTCTATTCAAAAGGCTTTCCGTGGCTAATCCCTCAGAAGTGCATTGCCTACTCCTTCTTTTCAGACTTTTCTGAATCTGGAAGATCCACTGAAATCTGTCAATCATGGGTGACCCTACTGATATTTGAAATACTGCTGGCATAGCTTCCAACATCATAACAACACATAAGACACCACACTACAAAAACCAATAGGGTCAAGAATACATGGGAAAAAAAAGAATTGGTCAAAAATATTTGTTGAATGAACAAAGTCTTAAAGATTTTGTGGAGAAATATATTGCCATTGGAAAATGTTTGGGATTAGAGCTAAGGAAAATTAGTCAGCTTCAGGAAGAAGGGGAAGACAGAATATTTGGCGTTCCTTGAAACTCTCAGCTAAAGGGCACATCTAATGCTTTTATATTGTTGTTAAGTGCTGTCAAGTTAGTTTCAACTCATAGTGACCCTGAATTGGGTTTCCCAGGAGCGACTGGTGAGTTTGAACTGCCAACATTGCAGTTCAAAGTGACCTTGAAGTCACGTGCTGAGCCTATGGCACCACACCAGAACTCCATAGATTTCATATGTTGTTAAGTGGCATCGAGTCATTTCTGACCCATAGCAGCCCTGTATAGTGTTTCCAAAGAGGGACTGATGACCTTGAGCCACAGATTTTGCCATTGAAACTCTTTGCAGTCCAGCAGATCAGCCCCAGCACCACACTAGGACTCCAGAGATTTTATATAGGAATTACTTAACTAAAGATGTTTGAAATGTAAACAACTGCTTAGCTGTTAAATTCTTCATTGTTATGGCTAAGTTCGCATGGCTCTTTTCTCTTTTACAGTAATTTGTTCAGCTACATGGAACCAGGAAACCAAACACAGTTTCCAGGATTCATTCTTTTGGGGCTCTCAGAAGAGGCACAGATGCAGCCCCTCCTCTTTGGGCTTTTTCTGTCCATGTACCTAATCACCTTCTCTGGGAACCTGCTCATCATCCTGGTCATCATCACAGACACCCACCTCCACACCCCCATGTACTTCTTCCTCTCCAATCTCTCTTTTGCAGACATCTGCTTCACCACCACCACTCTCCCAAAGATGCTGCTGAACATTCAGATGCAGAATAAAATCATTACCTATGAAGACTGCATCACCCAAATGTTTTTTTTCATGGTTTTTGGAGAACTAGACAATTTCCTCTTGACAGTGATGGCCTTTGACCGGTTTGTAGCCATCTGCCTCCCACTGCACTACACGGTCATCATGAACCCCAAGCTCTGTGGCCTCACACTTCTGGCATCCTGGATATTGAGTGTTCTGAACTCTCTATTACATAGCTTAATGGTTTTGCGACTGTCTTTTTGTACAGAATTAGAAATCTCCCACTTTTTCTGTGAATTTAATCAGGTAATCCAACTTGCTTGTTCTGACACCTTCCTCAACAACTTAGTGATGTATTTTACAACTGGACTTGTGGGTGTCATTCCACTCACTGGGATTCTTTTCTCTTACACTAAGATCGTGTCTTCCATTTTGAAAATTTCATCAGTTGGGGGCAAGCATAAAGTCTTTTCTACTTGTGGGTCTCACCTCTCAGTCATTTCCTTGTTCTATGGTACAGGTCTTGGAGTTTATCTTAGTTTTGCTGCTACCCAAAACTCCAGGACAACTGCAATGGTCTCAGTGATGTACACTGTGGTCACCCCCATGCTGAACCCCTTTATCTACAGTCTTAGAAATAAGGATATAAAGCAGGGAGTAAGAAAACTGTTCAACTGGCAGACATTCTCCACGTAACAGAATGATTATTTCTCAAGACTAGGAAGTTACTCATAAGCAACAGAGTTCAGTATCATGAAGACGTAATCATACTTTCATCAACACATGTTGTTGTTGTTGTTGTTATGCCGTTGAGTTGGTTCAGACTTATAGCGACCCTGCACAGGGTTTCCAAGGCTGTTAATCTTTACGGAAGCAGAACGCCTCATCTTTCTCCCATGGAACAGCTGATAGTTTCAAACTGCTGACCTTGTGATTCGCAGCCCGACTCATAACCACTACGCTACCAGAGCTCCTAATTCCATATAATTTTCAGATCTTTCATTTTTATATATTATAATATATAAGCAATTGTTTCTTGTGTATTTCTTTGAAAGCCTTTTATATTAACCAAAATCACCTTTCAACAGGCGGTTATTTTAGGGTGACTGCAGATGATTCAGTATGAAGCAAATCTTCTACTGCAAGTCATGGAGTACCCCCACACAATTACCTCATTTGAACTGCTATTAATGTCCTGAAACCCAAAAAGTTGAGATACCAATCTCCAGATTCCTGTTTTGGAAAGTCTGTTTCTTATAATCAGTTATAGCATGAAATATTCAAACCCTCTGGGTTATTTTTTTAAAACAGGACTTTTGTTAAGTATTTTGAGCAGAAACTTTGCATGCATGTACCACATTCTTCTTCATACAATCCACCTTTTCAGATTGCTTACTCAATATATAGATTGAATAAGTTTAATAAAATGATACATCCTTGATGCACACATTTCCTGATTTTAAACCATGTAGTATCCTCCATGGCACCTAACAACAACTAAACACAACAAAGCATACCATTGTTCTGTTCCAATGGCTGCCTCTTGGTCTGTATACAGGTTCCCCATGAGCACAATTAAGTGTTCTGGAATTCCCAATATCCTTAATGTTATCCTTTGTTTGTTATGATCCACTTAGTTGAATGCCTTTGTATAGTCAATAAAATACAATTAAATATTTTCTAATATTCTCTGCTTTCATCCAGGATTCATCTGACAGCAGCAAAAAAAAATCCCTTGTTTCTGTCCATTTCTGAATCTGGCTTGAATTTCTGGCAGCTCCCTTTTGATGTTTTTAAATTGTCATCAGCAAAATGCTCTTACAGGTGATGTTAATGATACTGTTTGATGATGTCCACAGTCCATTAAGTCACCTTTCTTAGAATGGGCACAAATATTCCAATCAGTTGTCCAGGTGACTGTCTTCCAAATTTCTTGGCATAGATACATGCGAACCTCCAGTGTTGTATCAGTTTATTGGAAATTTTCAACAATATTGTGTGTTCCTTTAATTCTTGGAGCATTGATTTTGTTCAATGCCTTCTGTGAAATAGACTTCTTTCTTCAGTACCGTCAGTTCTTGATGGCATGATACCCTTGAAATGGTTAAACACTGACCAATTCTTTTTAGTACAGTGACTCTGTGTGTTGCTATTAAATTAGATAATCTGTCAAGGAGCTCTTTTGATTTTAAGACATGTGTGTGCTTACGAATTAAATTGTTTTGATATTATTAAGAATCAATGAGGTGAGCTCAGTTTAACAGGTTTGGGTGTTTACATCAAACTTGATATCAAAATCTTCCAAGTAACTTGAGTTAGGTAATAGGTAAAAAACTAAAAAGTTTGAAAAAAAAGCAGAATATTTAAACAAAAGTGTTGTTGTTGTTGTTGTTGTTGTTAGGTGCCATCGAGTCGGTACTGACCCATAGCAACCTTATGCACAGCAGAATGAAACACTACCCAATCCTGGGCCAACCTCACTATTATTGCCACGCTTGAGTCCATCAATGCTGCCACTTGACCATTCCATCTCATTGGGGGGGTCTGTTTCAGCAGTAATTAGGCTTGACGTTGGAAAACCCATGTGGGAGCCATGTCTGACTTCCCCTAGCTGCACAAGAGGGAAAGAGAATCAAACTAGGTCAAATGGGAGTGCACACATGCACATACACCTCCCTGTATTTCACTTCAGAACAGCTAGCCCTTTCCCTGTCAGCCCTAGCCCCCAGGAGCTAAGTCAGTGCCCATGAGCTCAGGATTTTGCACAACTCCCTTACTCTTCTCTCTCTCTTAATTTGAGGTCAATGGTGCTCATAGATCATGTCCAAATTCAGCCGTGTCTTCATTGGTACATCACTCCCAATTCCACTCAAAAGTAAACTCAGGTGGTCACCAGGGAGCATACTAGACTGCTTGCTGGCTCCCTTTAACTTTTAGTCCTAGAAGGGGATTTTCTCTGCTTGGCAAAGACTTTCTTGACTTGATGCCTCCAAAACAGATTGCTTGAAACTTAAAAAGTGAATTAGTCTGCTTTTTTTCTTCTTCCTGCTGTTCCCTTTCAATCATAAATCTCCTGTTTTCTCAGCACTTCTGGGTGGGTCTACATAGCTTTTCAAATGTAAATATACCAACTCTGAAGTTTCTGGGTGGGGCTCAGGATACCACCTAATGCCACATATTCTACAAAGATTTAAAACAAAATGCCTATGTCTGGGCAACTTCTAACTCCCCTTTTAGCAAATCCAATCAGGTATATTCTGAAGGCAGTTGTACAAACTCTCTGAAATCATAATTCACAATGTTGATTTTCATCATTCATGTATGTGCATTTTACAATAGTAGGAATAAGAAATAAATGCCCAAAAGGCAGTTAAGCAAACCAAAACTATTTTTTCTCGTGAACCCTTAGATTGGATTCCTGGTGTGGCACTGTGAGTAAACGCACTGATCTTCAAAGTTGCTTGAACTGCAAGTTCGGCAGTTCAATTTCACCAGCTGATCCTTGGAAACCCTACACAGGTTTGATGGCACTTAACAACAACAACCCTTAGACTGTTGTTGTTGCTGTTAGGTTCATTCAAGTCGGTACCAACCCATAGCGACCTTATGCACAGCAGAAAAAAACGCTGCCCGATCCTGGGCCAACCTCACAACTATTGCCATGTTTGGGTCCATCAATGCTGCCACTTGGCCAATCTGTCTCATGGGGGTCTTCCTCTTTTTCTCTGACCCTCCACCTTACAAAACATTATATCCTTCTCCAGCAACAGGTCCCTCCTGACATTATGTCCAAAGTATGAGGGACGAAGTTTGGCCATCTTGGCCTCTAAGGAGCACTCTGGCTGCAATTCTTCCAAAACAGATCTAGTGGTTCTTTTGGCAGCCCATGGCACTTTCAATATTCTCAATATTCAATAACGCAAAAGCATCAATTTTTCTATGGTCTTCCTTATTTACTGTTCAGCTTTTGCATGCACATGAGGTTATGGAAAACACCATGGCGTGGGTCAGGTGCACCTTAGTCCTCAAGCTGACATCTTTGCTCTTCAACACTTTAAAAAGGTGCAACAGATTTGCCTAATGCAATATGTCGTTTGATCTCTTGACTACTGCTTCCATGAGTGTTGATTGTTGTTGTTGTTAAGTGCTGTCGAGTCGGTTCCGACCCATAGCAACCCTGTACAGGGTTTCCGAGGGTGTAAATCTTTACGGGAGTAGAAAGCCTCATCTTTCTCCCGTGGAGCGACTGGTAGTTTCGAACTGCTGACCTTAAGGTTCGCAGCCCTATTCGTAACCACTATGCTACCAGAGCTCCTTTATGAGTATGACAAGCTATGGACAACATTACGAAATATGGTATTCCAGAACACTTAATTGTGCTCATGAGGAATTTGTACCTGGACCAAGAGGCAGTTGTTCGACAGAACATGGGAACACTGAATGTTTTAAAATTAAGAAAGGTGTGCGACAAGGTTGTATTCTGTCACTATATTTATTCAGCCTGAATGCTGAACAAATAATCTGAGAATCTGGGTTCTATGAAGAATAACATGGCATCAGGATTGGAGGAAGACTCATGAGCAACCTGCGATATGCAGATGATACAACCTTGATCGCTGAAATTGAAGAGGACTTAAAACATTTACAGATGAAGAT